GGAGACTGGTCTTCTGCTTCAAAATGGAATTGTTGATTTTTTTTCTAATGAAAGTAGAAATCACAGACCTGCTGTTCCTGCTCTTAATTGCAGCCTGGAAGTTAAGAGGTACATTTTTGTGATGAAGGTGAATCCTTGCAATTAACAGCGTTAAATTCATTTTTTAATGAATCTAGCAAAATAAATCTGCCATTTTGCATATGGTAGCACATGTGATTGTTCAGCATGAGTGCTGCCCTCACATATCTTAGTATAGTTAATTCAAATCTTAGTATAGTAAACCTAAATGCCAAAAACATTAAATTGGCTGGATTAAAATAGTGAGAATTTTACAAGTAAAAATCCTTTTCTATTTTTTTCTTCTCCCAGTTTAAGATTTCTAATCTTTAACTCACTTTGTAGAAAATAAAGACCCAAATTTCAATGAAATATGAGTATGTCTTCTAATTAGTGCTTGATGGAAAAGAGATTTTGGTTTTGGCTTTTGGGGTTTTTTAAGCTCCTGAATGAGGCCACAGGCTCCTCTTCCCAGTCCAGGTGTCCCGATGGCTGGATTGCCCATTGCACAGGAATAAAATTCTGCCTCTCTGCTTGCTGTCTCCCTCATTCTTCCTTTCCACTCATACTTGTTTTGTTCTATCCCTAATCACATGTTTCTGCAAACTATTCTTTCTACATGTATTGGGTGTCACAAGATTATTAGTTTTAAGGTCATGAGATTTCAAGTTCTGCTTTTTTTCCTACTCTTAATGGGCCTCTTAGAATTCACCCTGTTAAGTTGAACTCTGCTGAGTAAAATAGAAGGGTTCAGTATTGGTCAGACCTCAAATCTCAAGTGAAGCTGGTGATGAAATGCAGCACTAAAAAACAATTGCTCCTGTGAGGCCCCAGAGCATCAGTGCTTGCAACACCACACTGCTCCATCCCAGAAGCGTTTGGGACATAACTCCTTTCTTCTTCTGATCTGAGCCACTCATTTGAGTGGAATTGTTTGAATTAGATGAAGGATGGAGCTGAAGGCTTGTGCCTTCAGCATTCTGGTTCTTGTGCTGAACTGCAGCAGCTAAGTCGCAGGTGCTAAATTTATTTATGTCCTGGAATGAGATGACAGTCCATCATGGTAAGACCCCAATGAAACTTTTGCTGTTTTGGGAAATGTTTGTTATTTATTAACTCATGTAATAGTCTTGTAAGGAGGAGTTAGCCAATACAACTGGAAATAGCAGGAATTTTAGCACTCAATGTTTGTCTGTATCAGAGAGTGATTTCTGAGAGCATCCCCATGCTTCCTGTGCCTCCATTGGCTCTGGAGTCAGGTGTCAGTCTCATCATTCCCTCTGGCCCTGCTGCCAGCTCCAGGGCACCTCCCCCCCAAGGAGACAGAGCTGCTGCTGTGCCTCTGCAGCTCTGGGCTGTGTGGGCTGCCCCAGGCTGCCCAAGCAGAGCAACTGTGGCCTTATTTACAACTCTAGTGGAATTCCAAAGCTTGAGTTGGTGGTTTTAGTCAGGATTTTATAATTAGTAAAAGAACAATACCTCTCCTTTCTTCTGTAAATCCATTTGTGCACCTCTGCTCCTGTTAGTGGATGTAAGCTGCTCTGTGTTACTCATAGGCAGAGTCTGTTGAGGGCTTGAAAGGAAGTGGGATGTTTGCAAGACAGTGCCTCCACCTGGGTTTGAAATTACATCTTCCAATCTTTTAATTGATTTTCTGATTTTTCTTTTTGATTTTTAGCACTAGTATTTCCAAAGTGTGGGAATAAACTCTCCTGCAGCAGGCTATAGAAAGTTTAATAATGGAAATATAGATGATACTGAAAAGATGATTCAGGATTTCCACTGGCAAATCTCATTACTTTTAGTTTGTCAATATAAATCACACACCTTTTGACGTTGTAGTGTAAATAATTGTATTTATAAAATACAGTTGCAGGATGTGTTAAAAACCACACCAAACATGACAACAGCCCTTTCTCCCCATACAGTGCTACATGGCCCTGGTGGTGGATGGCTCAGTCATTAACCCAGAAAGCAGCTATTGATTAGATGTCACTATGTTTGTTACTGAAGGGCTCTGACATTAACTCAAGACTCCTTGCATGGCATTTGCTAATTGCCTCTGTTTAGGGTTTAGGACCACACATGGTTTGGTTGTTTGGAGTTTTTAAAATTGAGATCACTGCTAATAAAAGCCAGTGTTTCTCCTTGCTAAAATTTATTACCTTGTCTTTCCTTCATTTTGTTCTCTTATCTTGTATATTTGAGTTCCTCACTTGCAAAGTTTAGCCTTCAGTGTGAACAGTTCTGTTTATCTACATAATAGAATTAGTAACCAGATATACCAACAAAATAAACTTGTCTCACAGGAGAAAAAAATCTCCCACTTTCTTAACCATCCAGGGAAGTATTTGCTGGATCCTGCATATATTCTGGATGAGATCTTATCCCAAAATGTTTTTGTACTACCCTGATGCTCCAAGAGCTCATTTAGAGCAAACATGCCATCCAGGAAACAACGGGAGAGCACAGTATTCTTGCCAAGCCTCAAATATTTGCTCTGAAACAGCTCTCATCAGCTGCTTGCAAATCTGCAGAGGGGCCAGGCACCAAAACGCTGCCCTGCAGGCTTGGCAACCAGATTAGGGGACTGCCATGCATTTTTCAGACACTGCCACACAAATATTTGTTTTCTTGCTAGGGCAGTGGCTTGAGAGTAAATTCTATCTGAATTCTTTTAAAACCTCTTTTTTTTTTTTTTACCTTTTGTGGTTAGATGATTTTCAAGGAAATAGATAGGAAAAAAAAAAAAGGTGGCTAGAAATGTCCTAGAGTTGAGCAAGTACAATAAATCTGGTGGAGTAAGGATTACCACCCTGAGACATGCAGCTGCTCCACAACTCCTGTGTGGGAGAGGAGATGCTGGGCACAAATCTCCCTGAAAGGGAGGTGGAAATCTCTCTTCTGCCACAGCATCCATCCTCCAGGGCACCCCAGAAGCAGCCACAAAAGGGCTGCTCATTCATGGCATGTCTGGCACATGGTGAGGTCAGCTCTCGGTAAGAATGTCCCAGCTCTGAGCTAAGCGATTTCTGTGTGGGGGTGGTGTTGTTGTTACCATCAGCACAGCAAGCACAAACACAGGTTTCGTGGAAATTTGATGATCCTGATAAAATTATTCAGTCCAGAAGATAAACAGCAGCACATTTGTGTTCGTTTAATCTACCCTTTTCTTTTGACTATAAAAAATGTGACTTGAAAGAAACCTCCACATAATGTTACAACTGATCTTGCAGCTTAATAATGCATTTTGATTAAGTGGAAATTTTTGATTAGAAAATGCCACATGATGCTCTGAGAGGTAGAGGTAGCTCATGACCATGCTTTGTCTAAGGGATTAAACCCTCCCCACCATGGTTGCAGATCCTGGCACCTTGGTCTTCTGCAGCAGAAGAGGTCAGAACTTGTGGCACCAGAAATGTGAGAGGGCTGCAGTGCCATCCCCACAAAGCACCGCACCAGCATTTCTGAACTCTGAGAGCTGGTAGCCTGTTACTTGATTTTAAATTTCATGGAAAGTAGTTGCTTTTTAAAGAGAAATATTTTATTTAAAGAGCAGATTTTATATTTATTTTGATAGGTAGATTTTGTATGGGCAGCAGCCTTAATTACCCATAGATACTGAACTGCCAGTGGAGCTTTGTGGGAGTGAAAATATTGATGCTGCAATTCAGGTTATTAATGCTGGCAATCGCACAGTGGGTATCAACACTCCTCTGCTATCTTATCTTTGAAGATTCCTTTGCAGCTTGTTTCAATGGGTGTGTGCTTGTGAAGAGCACAGTACCATATCTCTTAGCAAAAGGAGTTTGTTTTCTGCAAAACAGCTACTCAAACATATTTTTAATGTAAAACACTTATGTAATAATCAGGTTTCACTTTCTTGCGGAATATTAAAGTTTTCTTGGACTAAGATAAAGTGATCAATATAGATGTAAGAATTTCATTTAACCTGGTAGCTAAACAGAGAAAATTTCAAGTGCCAAATCCAGTTTGCACCTCCAACTTTGCAAAGCCTCTGTCCTGGAGCTGTATTTCAAAGTAGATTTTGGCTGAGAGATGGTGGGTTTGTGTTTTATTTTGTGGGGAAGGTGATGCTTCAGGCTATTTCTTTTTGCTGAAAGACTCTCAAGGTGAAATGCTACAGTAATAAGCAAATTAATACTATTTTTTTTCTCCTGTGAAATTTACTGATTGATTCAGCTTTCCTTTCAGTCCCATGACACATGAGGTAAATTGGAGGAGGCAGTAACTCTATTAACAAATAAAAGATATAGGGTATGGCCCCTTTAAGTAAGGGATGGTTTACTACCTTAATAAGAGCCATGGTGTGATGGTTCTGCCCTTGAGCACTCTTTTCCTTCTTTGATGTCTTCTATCTATTTATAAAGTGCTCTGAGATTACAAGGATGAACCACTCCATATAAAGTACAAGGTCATTGTCTGTCTGCATTAAAAAAAGGCAAGACAATTTATGATTTAAGAAGAGGGAGAAAGAATTTTGCAAAGAAATCAGCTTGCCATGTTTTGTTATAAGATCCAAGAAAAATTGATAAAGCTGACACACTTTTCCATTAAAGCCCAAATTACATACATAGCTTCAGAAAGATTCATCTGGTTTTCTACTCAGAGCAAAAGAACCTGAAAAAATAGAAACCAAATCTTAACAATAAAAAAAAAGATGCTGAAAGTTGAAATGGATGCAGAATTGTGGGTTCTGGGCTGTAATTACAGTCTAATTCAGGCAAACTGCAATTATACATAAATAATAAGTTGAAGTTACACTGCCCTGTGGAGATGAAGTACTGAAACCAATCTCTGTTTAAGGGAAACTTGCTGTGCCAAGGTGGAATAAAACATGCTGAAACAACCATAAAAATTGCTTGGTCTGCACAGCAGACTTTATTTTATTAAACATGTTGAAAGTGATACACCTACAGATATCTAACATAATGGTTCTTCTGGCCGGTATCATGGATTTTTAGTTTTAAGGAGCAAATCAAAACACAGAAGATAACTCCAGGATCTGTTCAACACCATGTGACTTTTTGATGCTGTTTCCAAGGTATGTGAATCCACACTTACAGGTAACCAGGGTGACCACCAAACCACAGCTGAAATGCAAGGAGTAGATTTATTTCATTACATTATTAACAACATCAGGTGGCAGAGACACCTGGGGACACAGGCTCCATCAGGCTTAGTCCATCCTAGCAATGTGTGGGTGTGAGTCCCTGCCTGCCCCACTGTACCACAGGGCTTCATGAATGTGCAGTTTATCACAAGGCTGTGCTTTTCTGCTTCTGAGCTTCTGATTTCTCTCTCTCTCTCTCCATCAGGAGGCCCAAGTATGTCTGTGACAGTGTGTTATCTCTACACAGGAATTCTACTTCTGTAAACAGGGAGAGGATGCACAACTCTGGGCATAATTGGGGTTTCCCCACTCTGGTATTTTTAGCATTCTCAGCTGCAAGGTCATTTGGGTGAATTTACCTCTTTGATATTCCTTGTGCTTTCAACCCTTTCCTCCCAGCACAAGGGTTTGATTTGTGTTTCTAGGCTAGACATACCACTTTTATGGTGTCCAGGTCCTCTTTGGCTGAGGAAATCTTTGGAGTTTAGGAATCCTGCTAGGGCTGGCAGGAGTCTTGACTTGGCTGAGTTTATGCAATCTTAATCCCTGCCCTGTGTCACTGAGGTTGCCAGGCTGGGTGCTCTGCAGTCCTCAGGGAGGGTCCCATGCTGACAGCCATCCCAGGCTGGATTCCATCTGCCAGGAGGTCCATGGGGCTCCTCCTCCTCAGCTCAGTGAATCCACCAAGGCAAGACCTTTGGAGCCCTTCAAAAGGGCTTCAAGCACATTGAACTGCACAGCCCCAGCTCAGCAGAGCTGCCAAGCCCGTCCTTCTCTGCCCTGCTGAATCACAAGTGAGCTCAGCTGTCGTGTTCATTTGTACACAGAGCCCAGTGAGACTGTCACACTGCCTGCTGTGCCGGGTTAGAAAGAGAAGATTAAAAATGACACTCTTTTTTCTTGTGTCCCACAGATAAGAGGTTTTCCAGTTCCTTTATTCTCAGGAGTTTAGGAGCTGTTTGAGACTGGCTGTTATGAACAAATCCAGTTAGCTGATTATCTCCTGAAACACCACCCTAACAAATACTAAAGATTTTGGAAAAAAAAATAAAACAAAAAAACCCAGCTCCATGCCCTTGTGTTGTCTTTCTTTTTATTTGAATTTAGCCATCACTCCTCTGGCTGACATATATATTACACCAAGTAGCAGAAACAAGTGAATTATTGCACATGGTGTTGATTCATTCTTGCCTGACTCTGGGCCCTGCATGAGGGCAGCAGTTGCTCTGTACATGGCAGATATTTGATATGGTGTGTGTCCTGCTATTGTGACTCTGTAAAGCTTCTGAGGATTAACAAAGAAAGGATGTAGAGATATACTGCCTGAAATGTCAAACACAAAAGTGAAATAAAAAGAAATATATAGGAAAAATGGGCACATTAGTCCCTAAGCCTTTTGGGGAACCAGATAATGTAGGTTCAATTTCTGATTTCACTATCAGTTTTTTATGTGACCTTGGGCAAATCATTTAACTTCCCTCTCACTATTTCTCTTCTGTAAAACTGAAACCAGTCTTTGTCAAAGGAAGGGGAAAGGGATAAACCTGATTTCAGCACAGAGATCATCTCATGTGGACAATGAGAATATGAATAAATTTCTTTGAAGACAATAATTTATATGTTCCTCCAGATCCAGTCATATAATATGCAGTGCTTAAATTTTCTCTCTTTTCTGTTGTTGATTTCTTATCTGAATAAAATAGATTGTACTGAAAATTAACTGCCCACATGTCCCCAAAGCCATTCACTCAAATGAAAGCAGGTATTTCACCTCTTGAAGCATAAAAAATAAGCATTCTACTCAATTTCTTCCCCCACTGAACTGATAGAGATTTTCTTCGAAGAAATACCTTTGGCAAAACATTAATTTGTTGTAAATCTTCAGAAACTGTGGCAGAAATTGGATCAGAACAGTGTCTTACACATTTCAACAGCAGCTATAAAGATATGGAGAAGATTAAGGTATATCTCTTGTTACCAGCAGACTTTTGCTAGACCTCCCTTGGGCTGACAGCACTTTTAAATATTTGCATGGCCTAGGATTTATATCCTAACTGTGTGCAAGTAAAAAATTACCCTAATTGGTATCAAAAAGTCTTAGTGAATGTATTATTTTGGAAATAATTTATTTTGTTTCATGCTGAAATAATACGTTCTGCCTTGAAGAGCTGCTTCTGTTCCACAGTTTACATCCCCTGAATAAATATTTAAATCACTCTTTCCTGTGATCAAAGCTCAAAGGGGAAAGCTTGGCCACCCTTCACCGAAGCCAGGCGAGATGTGGTGCTGCATTCCAGCTCCTGAGGGCTCCCAAGGGGCTGAGCTTCATCCTGGCCCCACCACGCTGTGGTCAGGGGATGGTTTTGTGCTTGCATTGCTCTGTAACCTCCTTGCTGTGTATTTCAGAAATACCAGGCATCTGACCTGCAAAACAAAATGCCTCGAGGCAGAATCAAATTTATGATTAAAAAACCAGGCATTTTTGACCTCTTATAATGTGGCAATTTGGAATATCTGTGGGATGAAAAAATCATAGGTTTATATAATTAAAATTGTCTAACATTGCACATACTTAAAGACATTGAACAGTGTTATTTACCTATTTCTGTCACTTCCCAACTTTTCTGTGCCTGACTTGGCATCTTTGGTTGTATCCTTTACTGGTTGTGAGTAATCTGGGCAGCACATGCTCGCTGAAAGAACAGATTTTAAAAACGTCATTATTCATGTTTTTATGAGCAAAACCTCCTCCTCAGACATCAGTATGCACAAAAATCACAGTCATCTGAGTATTCATGGGAAAGGGGCTGGAGTGGTATGAAATGCAGAAGTTGTGCTTTATCTCACCTTTCATAAACTCACTTATTCTATCTACAGCTTTTTATTTGTGAGTTTTAGATCTGTCTAAATACCTGCTAATTCAGAGAAACTACAGATCCACTGTTTTCCCAACACTAATAAAAAAGATATTTTTGTGTGTTCATCACAATAAAAATGTACTCCAATATTTTTTTTAAACAATGGTTTGACAGCTCCTTTCTTTACAAGAGTTCTTTCTATTAAAAGTTGTCTTTCAATGTGTCCCTGAATTTTTTAGCATTATGCACTGATGTGGTACAGGAATAAGGCTGAATTGAAGGACTTTATTCCAGGAAAATACAGAAGGTATTGTCTCCTTTCTGTCCTGGAACAGCTTTTTAAAATCCTTTCACTTTTAAGGGTCAAGCCCTGAGGAATACTTCAGGTAATATGCATTATGAATTGCACATGGCATGCTGACCTATTTTTCAATACACTCTATTTATTAGTAGACAAATCCCTTTTTTTTCTTTTTTCATGTAAAGTTTGCATCCAGGCAAAGGATACACTTGGTGATCCAGGCCAATGAGTTATTCTGCCAGGTTCTGCCTTGTTAAATTTACACACACCACATCATCTTCTTGACCTCATTTACCTCTCAAGAACCAAATGCCTGAAGCAAAGGATATTTAGTTTTAAAGCAGTTGTTTTTGCTTCATATGCTTAAGCCTTTTGAATAAATGTCTCTCTGTAAAAAGGCTTGTGTCCCTGCAGTGACTCTTTGGTACATAGAAAACACCAGAAATTATTATACTCTGCTGTAACAGCAAGTGGGCAACCTTTGACAAAAACATGAGGAGACAACAGATATGTTAGTTACAAACATTCCTGTTCTTAACCTTTTGTTTCATTGCTCATAAAGAAAAAAAAACTTTTTTAAAGGAGTTAATGTGCATGAATGGCATACAATGGTTTCCTGAAGGCTGTGAGTCTAAATATGGAGGTGGGTGCTGGCAGAGGTTCCCTCTGGAATGCAGATGATCCACTAAATTCCTTGGAAAAATGCATTGAACCCTTTGGTCAGAGAGGGTTTGGTTACCTGGACAAGGTGCTCAGCAGTGTGTCTGCTTGAAAAGGGACTGGTACAAATAAAGAGATTGGTGTGAAGCACTAAAATGCAAAATAAACGGCATATTTCAAAATAGTTCAGATAACACACAGCTTATGTCCCTATCTCAAAATATTACTTCAGTCTCTGCAGCAGCTGGAGGGCTAAAGGCTTCTAACTCCATCAGAAGGATTTAATCAGTCCAAGACAGGTGGGCATATGTATTAAAAAATAGGTACGAAAAGGTGGTGTCTACAAATGTGACATTTATTTCTATGAGAACACATGATGCTGATTCTGTGTGATACCAGAGCTACTGCTCAGCTCAAGGCAGAGACTGACACTGAGGTGTGATCCTCCCTCTGGAACTGCCTACTAGATGTGTGTAAAATAATGTAGATCCTTCCTTCCTTCCTTCCTTCCTTCCTTCCTTCCTTCCTTCCTTCCTTCCTTCCTTCCTTCCTTCCTTCCTTCCACCTCTGTCTCTCTAACCCTTTCTTCTCCCTGACCACACATTTT